GTATAAAAAGGGAAGAATGCCACGCGAGGCACCAACGAAATTTGTGAAGTTTACGGAGACGATGCTGTATCAGTTCGTGTAGCACAACAATGGTTCGCTCGCTTTCGTTTTGGAAATTTCGATGTGAAAGATGCACCTATCGTTGAAAAGGTCGATGAAATTATGCAAAAGATTGACCAGGAGCGTCACACAAGCAGCTATGACATCGCTAATGACCTTAATATTCATCATTAAACGGTTTTGAACCATTCAAAAACGGCTGGCTACAAAAAGAAGCTCGATGTTTGGGTATCACAGGAAAAATTTAATTAACGGAATTAACAGGAGACGAAAAGTGCAGCAAATGCGACAATTGTCATGGTTCAAGAGTGGTGAAGCTCAACAAATGGGCGAAAAGCCACGATTGACGGCTCGAAAGGTTATGCTTAGAGTTTGGTGCAATTTGAAAGGAGTAATTCACTATAAGCTGCTCCAGCCAGGTCGAACCATTGATTGATACTACATTTTACTGATGAGACTGAAGCAAGCAGTCGAAAAAACGGTCGGAACTGGTTACCGGAAAGGGCTTCGTCTTCCATCAGGACAACGTTAGACCACACACATCTTTGATGACTAGCCAAAAACTGGGAGAGCTTGGCTGGAAAGTTTTGATGCATCCACCGTATAGCCCTGACCTTGCACCTTCGTAATATTATTTGTTTTGATCAATGAAGAGCTCTCTTAATGGAGTAAAGTTGGCTTCAAGAAACCAGAAAGTATTTACTCGACCAAAATGGTACATGTTTGGTTCATTAAAGATGGATTAGAAATACGAAAAGACTTTTTCGACAACCCAATATATGCCTTACAAACTGGCTGGTTCAAATTAAGTTTTCTGTAAGGAAAATATGATGAGATATCTGCTCGAAATTGATCTTACAATTAGATTGTCTAAGACAAGGCTTCATATTCCGAGTATATTGTTCTAATCGGACTACTCTATCATATAGCATCTATACAAACTAAGCTATCAATAACAATTAAGAGCTTAATTAAAGATATTTTTTCCGTACGAAGTAACCTAATTTCTTTGAAATATGAAACACATATATAAATAAATATTGATTTATAATCGCTTAATACTTTCACATAAATAAAATTAATAATTTAAATTTGTTTAATAACGAAAATCCACATTTATGCAAATTTAATATTAAATGTACCATAAAATTTTTTTCAAACAGATATTTTAATTACCTTTACAACTGTTGTCCGCGGATGTCTGTCTGTCGATATATACAAGTATAAGTATTTAGGTGTGCGTGTTGTTGCCCCGCAGACAATTTTCAACACCGAAATGCTTGAGTGTAAAGTTTTTTTGACGGCTAGATTGGGCACTTCAACGAAATTCCCACGCACACACAAAGTTGACGAAATATTTATGAATGTTCTTGCTACATTGGACGCTCGGCATTTCATCAAAATATACACATACACAAGCGCTTAAGTGTGTTAATGTATTTCTCCAACATTTGGCGTGCAATTCTTTCTACGCTTTTTTACTTTTCTTGTAACAAAAAACATTTACACAACACATATGGTGCGGCTATAAACTATGCACATCAGCAAGCAAACACACACACACACTGGTATCATTCGCAAAGCAGATTTTTYATAATTTCAGCATCTCCACATTTTTGTTTCCCAGCCGCATTGGCCAAGTTGTGTTGTTGCAGCTATTTTTACCTAATTTCCACTCAAAATTGCTAAACATTCGCATTAGTGTTGTTTTTGTTTACCTTTTATTATATTTTGTATTGTTTTTGCAGCGCTGTGCGCCGATTTTGTCATTTGTCATGGCGGTGTTTGTGCTGCTGACATTAATGCTTTTTTGCTCGTGTTTTTAGGTATATTTATACTTTTAATTGTTGTCGTGCGTTGGTTTGAAGCGGCGATGACGGTGAGCGAAATGAAAATGTGGCTGTAGGTATGTGTGTGAGAGCGACCTTGCCGACGACTGGGGAGGCTTTCCAGCATATTTTTTTAAGTTTTGCACGCCAGTTAGGGTTTTTTACTTAACTCATTTATTAAATGTATAATATTTTACTAAATTATTTTTTTATTCACACATTAACAAATTTTTATTAAATAATATATAATG